GATAAAACATGATAAAGTGTCCTTTACGATGCTCTTCCAGTGGAAAAAACAATAAAATGCCCTTATGGTGCTCTTCTAGTGGAGAAAACATGATGAAGTGCCATCTAGGTTAGTAATCCTAACCCTGACTAAGCGGTTTCACTGTAAATGCATCACAACTTTCTGTGTGCTGGTATTCTTATGTTTTTTGCCCCTGCCCCATTAACAGCCTGAATCTTCCACTGCTTGGACTACAACCAAAAAACCCAACCCAGAAAGCCTGAATTACGAACTGAGGGTGTGAAGTTCAACAGATTTGGGTTTTATGAGGCACACTTTAGTTTTGAAACATTAATTTTGGATTGCCTGAAATCTGATACAGGCAATTGTTCCCTTCTGGGTAATTGGGGACAACTTTTTCTAACTTATCATCCAGCATCAGGTCAAAATGTGTCCAATGCATTGTTTTATGACTAAACAATATTCCCATCAGCTAAACTAAGATGGAAAAAAGCTTTAGACTATTAGCATGTTAGCGTTGTCATTTTGAGCATGTTAGCAAGCTGACAGTAGAATTTAGCACAAAGTGCTGCGATACCTATTACAGAACTTATTATTCTAGTTTTGTTCATTGTTTCTATTGGTTATACATGATAACATTGTCCTCAGCAAGTTCATTGCTAAGGTTATCACAGCTTTCTCTTCCAGTTTGACTAACCAGGAGGTGTGTTTAAACCTATATGATTGTTGACTGACTGCTTGTGTTTCTTGCCTTGTCTGACTGTCTTTTTAGCACACAGACGTTTTCCCAGATCTCGTCCATTAATTTAGAATCTATTATTATTTTTAGGAATGAAGTTATAAAAAAAGTACTTTTCTTTCTTGTTCAACTGCTGCACTAATTGCATACAGGAGCTGCAGTTTATCTTTTCAGACGCAGAGCAAATATTCTGCTTAATGACTGAATGGTTGTTGCTCTCCAAGTTGTTGCTCTCTCAAGGACAAAGACTAGAGTTTCACCAGCATCAGCAAGTGTGTGTATGTGTGTGTGTGTGTATGTGTGAGTGTGTGCTCAGTGTGAGTAATGGTTTCACCTGCTGGGTTTGTGTGTGTGCGTGTTGTTTGTCCTGTGTGAAGGTGATTATGACAGCGGACTCAAACTGTCTGGCTGTGTGGATGTCTTTTGCCCCCTCCAGGTGCGGCGAGGCCAGCGCACCGTCCAGACTGAGACCAAGTACATTGAGCTGATGGTGGTCAACGACCATGAACTGGTAGGTGTGAAGCTGACAGCTCCAAGGTGTTTTTCCTTTTACCTTATTTCTCTTACCTGCTGCGTGAAGGTAATAATAAGAAGTGAGTGTTGCTCTCATTAAAGTAAGGATTTAATCGAGTGGTGCTCTGTTGATAAGACTTTATAATCAGCACAGAAAATAGATGAAAGGCAGTAACAGTGTTTTTCTCCTCTTATTAGTTTGTGCAGCTCCGTCGGTCGGCCACTCAGACGAAGAACTTTGCCAAAGCAGTGGTGAACATGGCCGATGCGGTGAGCTGAAATACTGTTGCCATAAGCTATATCATTGTCTGATGTCATTTTTTTACCATCTCAGGGTTCATTCAGGGTCAGATTGTGTTAAAGGCTGTACCAGAATTTGTTACATTACCCTGTCAAATAGCAAATATTTGCTATTATCTCTTGAATCCTCATCCTCATTTAACAGAGTCTTTTAGTAGTTATGAAGGGTTAATATGGTCTATTTTTATATGTATGAAAACATTTATAAATAAATAAACATGTAATAACATTTAAATGTACAAGAATGGGGTTAATAGAGATTAAGTAAATTTTTTTTACCGTTTATATATTTTCAGCATGAGTTGCATCAATTTCAACACAATATAATCAACCGAACAAACAAATGAGATGTTTCTAGATAGGCACTGGAAAAAGAACATGTTTTGCAGCATCCCTAGTCTGTCCTTAAAGCTCCCTTTGGTGCTGTGGCGCCCACTTTGGGAGCAATTTATATAAAAGGATGAAAAATTAAAGGAGGTTGAAGCAAAATTTTGCTGCTAAGGTTGATTGTCTAGAGTATATAGTAGGTTGCCAGCTTATATAACAGGATGACTATGCTCCCCATTCTGCTGTAAAAGCTACAGGTAAATCAGATTGTTCCTGCATTCTCAAAGAGAAGTAAGATTATTGTATATTTAGAATTATGATTATTATTTTTATTTAATCTTTATTAATTCATTCACTCATGTATGCTAAAAAAAGGTAAATATTATATTGTGTTAGATTAGATTGCAAAAAAGAGAAGGAATTAAGTACCAAACATTGCTCTAAACCTCTTCACTAACAGAGTAGTAGTAGTTCAGCACTGATCTTGTATTTCAACAACTCCTTTAATTAGCAGAATATTATAACGGCAAACATTAATGTTCATGTATGTATGTATCTGATCAGAGCATTAGGAACAGACGACAATTATACATCTCATGACCTTTACAGTAGAGGAGAGAGGTTTACCAGGGATAGCTTTATAAATAAATATCCCCAATGTCTGACACTACAGTACAGTGAGGAGCTGGGGCTTTACACCTCTCAGTGTTAACTCCTTCATTATATATGCAGTAATGATATTTCTGGGTATGCTTCTGGGTATTTCTGGGTATGGGTAAATCTTACAGTCACTTAACCCATTAAGATAAGACATTTTTCCACTAACAGGAAATTATTAGTTTTAGTTTATTTTTACCTTTTCCTCATGTAGAAATTGGGCTAAATAAAATATAAATATGTAATCTCAACACTTTATTATATTTCTTAATTCTTACTTAATATGAGACATTTTTCGATTTTTAGCAGTTGTTTTAAGGATGCATGTATCCTTCCTATTTGTTGTTTTTCTGTTGTTTTTTTAGGCAGTTTAGAGGTCTGTTATCCTCAAGACATTCAGACTTGTATGATTTTAAATGATTCATTTTTGATCATAATAATATTCACTTTCACACGTTTGCATGTTCAGGCTGCAGTCCTGAATCTTAATAACTGCCAACAGGACGAAGGATGAATTCTCTGAATGTGTTTCCTCACCTGTTGCGTAATTCTTGCTCGTGATTTCCCGTTTGATGTGTCCAGATCTACAAGGAGCAGCTCAACACTCGCATCGTCCTGGTGGCCATGGAAACCTGGTCTTCTGAGAACAAGGTCTACGTGGACAACGACGCCTTGCTCACCCTGCGTGACTTCATGAAGTACAGGAAGGAGAGCATCAAGGAACGCTGCGACGCTGTTCACCTCTTCTCGTGGGTCCTCCTAATTTTAATTGGTGTTGATGTTATCATCCTCCTCCTTCTCCCTCCATCTTCCTCTTCTCCTATTTCATCTCCTTCCCCTCCCAGCTTTTCCTCCTGCTTCTTCTCCTCCTACCTGTTCCTGCTTCTCATCTTTCACCTCCTACCCTTTATTCTTTTTTCCTTGTCTCCTGCTCTTCCCCTCCTTCTTTTCCTCTTTCTCCTCCTGTTTCTTAATTTCCTTTCTTCTCCAACCCCACCCTTCTCCTTCTTCTCCTTCTTCTCCTTCTCCTTCTTCTCCTTCTCCTTCTCCTTCTCCTTCTCCTTCTCCTTCTTCTCCTTCTCCTTCTCCTTCTTCTCCTTGTCCTTCTCCTTCTCCTTCTTCTCCTTCTTCTCCTCCTTCTCCTTCTCCTTCTCCTCCTCCTCCTCCTCCTCCTCTCTTTCTAGCAGAGACTTGTTGGGCTAGATGGCAGGCAGACAGAATGC